GCAGGAAAGTTACCGCACGCTGTGGGCGTCCCATGCCCCTTCCACAGTGTGGCTGATTGCCTGCGAGATACAAGGCTTGTGTTTGTTGCCTTTGCCTCTTGCAAGAAGAGGCAACCAGTGTTCTGGGAGTGATGGCCAGGGAGATGAATTTAGTCAGAGTAATTCTATGATGTAACAGTTATGGATATAGGAGAGGCTGTTCAAGAAATATGGGTCTATTTGGCTCTCTGCATGCAATGCTGTATAGTCACACATCTCTCTCAGTGCAAATTAGCCTTGAATGGAAGTGGGCCACCAGAAAAGCTGTGGCGAAGTGATTCATCATGGAAGTGTGAAATGGCCATGACCTAGATAAAAGGGAAAAGACCGAACCTAAAATGTCAGTGGAGAGAAAATTGCCAAGTATTGAAAAAGTCCCGAAAGTGCTGGAATCAAAGCAGGGCTGAGGATTCCTTCTGGGCAGCGGAGAGCACTGGTCTGCCGCTGGCAGCAAGTGAATGTAAACGTTTTACAGTAGTAAGGGGAGGGAGAATTTGAAGCTTTCAGAGTTGTTGAAGAACATAAGAATTTGATTACAGCAGCCTCTTTTTAAGCTGAAATTATGAAGACAGTTCATATATGAAATGTTAGCTAATGAGCTCAGAGTGTTCTGGAAATTACTATGGGTAGATCTGCAGTGCAGTATGGCAAATACCTGATACAGCTGTGATGTGGCTATTTGGAGAACAGATACCATGGGCACAGAGCATAATCACTGGAGAGTGGCCTATTTGCCACAGTTTTCATCAATCCTTCATCTGCTTTTCATCCTTCTAGATCTGTCATCCTCTGGTTCTGCCTTGCTGCAGACCTTGCTTTGTTTTGATGCAGTTGGGCCAGGGCTCCAGTGGAAGCTTATGTGTCAAGGAAACGCTTCCTGAACGGCTTCTGCCATACACGCTCCAGCTCAAAGCATCTGCTACAGCCTGGAAAGGCTCCAGGTTGGAGGCCCTGAAAAACACAGCCCAGCTGTTCTGGAAGATGAGCACCGCTAAATGAGTATAGCCATCTGGAAGAAGAGTAACAAACAGCCATGTGGTCTGGACTCCTTGGTCCTTGTGCAGCGTGAAACTTGAATCACACTCATTTGGTTGTTTTTGCCAATGGTAATGAAATCATTTTCTTACAACACTAACGGTGACAAGAAATCTGTATGTAATGGCCATGGAAGCCCTGGCTTGTGGCACAGGTTGCTGTCTAGTGATTTGTGGTTATGACTGCATAAGGGCATGAAATTAATCTTTCTTTTATTTGTATTCGTAGTGACTAAGTGCAGCCCACACACAGTGTTCTGACTCTTGAATATCTATTTCTCTTTCCATCTCTAGTATGTTTGGTCTTCTTCCTCCCAAAAGCAATTCATCAGTCTCCCTGCAATGCCTCCACAAATCAAAAGCTGTATCACTGTTAAGTTCATACAAGAGGAGACAAGCTTGACCTAGCCAGGGAAATGGCGATTGCAGGTGTATGCTCACGCAATGTGACTTCGGAGCATTTCTGTTTACCAGTTGTAGCTGATGGGTGGGGAAATAAAACTGTACAGATACGGTGAACTTGGTGAACTACTCGGATTATGCAGATGGGCTGCTCTCTAACGTAGGCTTTGGCTTAGACCAAGCTGATGGAGATGAAAGGTTAAGGTTAGTGGGTGTTATTTGTGGTTATGGATATGATATTTATGCCAGTGCAACTCACATCCAGTAGAAATATTTTGCAAATCAGTAGATTTTTTTTTCTGAGTAGTACATTTAAGGTCAAGGACTGATAGAACTTAAAAGAAAATCTTTCAACATCTCTATTTGCCTCGAATTTCCTTACAGCTCCTTGTCTATTTTTTCTTATCATAATCTGAATCCCTTGGCATCTATTTTTGTGTCCTACAGTTATGGTGTATTAAAAAATGTGAGATCTCCTCTGCCTTTTGTAAAGAAGGTGCTAAGAGAATGTGGTATGCCTTCAACTTGTGGCATTTGTCACTTTAAATTATGGCTGTTCAAGGGCAAATATTTAGAGATGAAAATATGTATCTGGTTATTCATGGAAAATGTGGTGTCCTATTTTTAAATGAAATCAAATCTATTGCAACAGAGGCAATAAAAGACATCACCTTCCCATACACACCACTTTTGTTCACTTCTTGCCAGAGTTGTGCAGTCCACTTTTTATTATTTTGAATCAGAATTACAGCTTGTGGGCACGGGAATAGCTACGATTATTTGTAAGCTCCCAGACAAATCCAGTGATTTCATCGAGAGTAATGAGCTTGTGGACCTCTGGTGGAGTCAGCCTCACCAAAACCAGAAGGCTCTAAAACCAAAAAAGTATTTCAGCTCTGCCTGGGGAAAACCCCACGTGCCTGTGCCCTATTTCGTTTCCTCCTGGGAAGGCGTGAGGCACCCTTGGATGTGAGGCCACTTCCCACCTTCCTTCTCCTGGAAAGAAGGCCAATGGGATCCTGGCCTGCATCAGGAGGAGTGTTGCCAGCAGGTCAAGGGAGGTGATTCTGCCCCTCTACACTGCTCTGGTGAGGCCTCACCTGGAGTATTGTGTGCAGTTCTGGGCTCCCCAGTATGAGAGGGACGTGGAGCTTCTCGAGAGGGTCCAGAGAAGAGCAACTAAGATGATTAAGGGAATGGAACATCTCTCATATGAGGAGAGACTGAGTGAGCTGGGCCTGTTTAGCCTGGGGAAGAGAAGGCTGAGAGGGGATCTGATTAATGTGTATAAGTTCATGAAGGGAGAATGCAGGGAGGAAGGGGACAAGCTGTTTTCACTGGTCGCCAGGGGTAGGACGAGGGGTAATCGCCATAAGCTGGAGCACAGGAAGTTCCATCTCCAGGTGAAGAGCAACTTCTTGTCTTGTCCTGTCCACTGACAGGACGAGGGGTAATGGGTGTAAGTTGAAACACAGGCAGTTCCATCTCCCTGTGAGGAGGAACTTCTTCACTGTGAGGGTGACAGAGCAGTAGAACAGGCTGTCCAGGGAGGTTGTGGAGTCTCCTTCTCTGGAGATCTTCAAAACCTGCCTGGATGCCACCCTGTGCCACGTGCTCTAGGTGTCCCTGCTTGAGCGGGAAGGTTGGACTAGATGATCTCTAGAGGTCCCTTCCAACCTTGAACATTCTGTGACTCTGTGATTCTCTGAGAGGGCCCTGGGCAGGAGAGGAGGGCGCAGGAAGGGCCCTTGTTTCGGCAGTGCCTGGCTCGCACAGCGGCGGGAGCTGGGAACAGGCCCTGGAGATGCTCATGGCGCAGAGGGGACCCACAGCACAGGCAGGTTTGATGGCGCAGGGCCCAGCTGCTGCACATGGAGGGACGGGAGGTTCCTGGCAGAGGCTCGGCCGTGCCTGGGGTGTCTCGGACATATCGGGGTGACCTGGTGAGCCCTGCGGCAGGAGGAGCCCATTGCTGTGGCCTTGGTTTGGCAGAGCGGCAGTGCCGCACGCGCAAGGAGTGTGAGCTTGGGAACCTCAGCACGGGGCCAAGCGGCATCTCCACTTCCACGCTTTCAAGGGGAAAAAACAAGTCGCGCTTCCAAGGCTGAATTTGTAACCGGGCACTGCTTGAAGAGCTGGGCGCAGAGGGCTGAGCCGGGAGCCCAGCGGGCCGTGGGCGCCAGCTCTAGGGGAAGGGGGTGGCAGCGCCCCCCACTCTCCCCTCACGACCGTTGCCTTTTCCCGCTGCGCCATGGCCAGGGGCTTGAGGCAAGCGCCATCCCACCCGTCGGGGAGCCCCCAGCCACGGCCGCGCGCCCTCTCATCGCCCCACAAGCGCCGTCAGCCCCCGGACAGCGCGGAGCGGCGAGGAGCCGCTCACCGCAGCCCGGCCTCGCCGCCCATAACGGGGCGACCCCCCCCCACCATCCCCGGCTCCCCTCCCCCGCCCGCTCCCCGCTCCCGCCGCGCGCATCGGCCAACGGCCGCCCCCACGCGGCACCGCCCCCCGCTCGCGGCCTCATTGGCTCGGAGCCGTGCTCGTCTGCCCGCTCAGCCAATGGGAGGCGCCCGCTCTGCTGCCACAGCGTCGCGGGGGCGCCGGGGGCTCCCGGGCCGGCTCTGCGCAGCGTGTCCCGGGCGAGGGCAGCGGCGCGGGGGGCTCGTCCGCTCCGGGGTCCGCGGCCGTCGCTCCCGCGCCGCCCGGGCCGGGTGCAGCGCGCCGCCCTCGCCGGGTAAGGCGGCTTTGCTCTAACCCGCCGCTGCCCTGAGGCGGGGGGCTCACCCCGCGGGGGGGATGGCGGGCGGTTAACGGTCGTGCTGGGGGAAGGGGAGGCCGCAGGGGGCTCCCCGAGCGGGCGGGAGGAGATGCCGGGGACAGAGGTTCCCTTTAGGGGCGGGGGAGAGGCTCTCTTAAAGGGACAGGGCCCCCCTGGGGAGGCTCTGTGTGTGTGTAGGGCAGGGCATCCCCCCCCCGGCTGCCCCATGGCTCCCTGCCTACCCCAGGAAGGCCGAGAGACGTGGATGCACCAGGCAGGGGCTGGGCAGGTGGAGTGGGGAATCACCGTCTTTTGGAGTCAGGCCTTAAACTTTTCAGTCCAGCAGCGCTTTATCAGTGCAAGAGGTTGCTGCTGTGAGCAGCTGCCTTTGCTGTGCTGCATGGAGCCAGGGCTTTCTAGTGTTGCTGGCTTATGCTGAGCTGTCCAGATCTGTACTCTCTGTAAAGTCCTAAAGGCTTCAGGGAGACCTCTCTGCATAAGGATGAAGGAAATTGCAGTCTAAAGATGTGGGAAGCAAATGAAGGCCTGGGGCATCTGGGAGGCAAGAAGCTTTCCTGTACTGGAAATGCAGGAGCTATATTTTTGCATCTTTTTGCGTGGAAGAAACTGCTCGCTTTCCCAGCCTGTACAGGGGGGTGCTTAGGCTCACTTACTCTCCCAGCCGTGAGAGCAAATGATAGTAGACATAACCATTTGCACCTGTGGTTTCTTTCTGTGAGAGCACTCAGTGTTTATTCCCTTTCTGCAGGTAACTAGCCAAGAGCCTCTGTATAGACCAACTCTTGAGTCTGTGCTGGGATTTGTTTAGGCTGTTTGTTGCCTTAGGTGAGTAGAATTATATTTGTGTGTTTCTCTGAGACTTGGAGGAATTTAGCTTTTATAGACGGACTGATATTTAAAGAATGCTCTCATTGTTTGTCCTTTCTATGGATATGTTTAAAAATGGTGACTTGTGTCTCTGAAGTGGAGTTTATGGATCTCAGGTGAATTTAGTTGTTTGTATAAGTCTCTTCTGATATATTCCTTTAGCTACTTATTGTTTCAGACTGAGTGTACCCAACTCAGAACAGATGTGAGCAGGTACATGTTCTGTATTTTTATTTTTGGGCGTTGGGGAAGATACCTTAATTTGGTAAGTAAATCACTTAATCTGTTTTGTGGGTAATACAGTTGAGTAGTCTGAAGAACAAAATATCTGAAGAGACAGAGCTTTTTATGGTGTTAAGAATCTTGTCTAGTAGTTCATGCTGTGAATACACCATGCGATTTTTAATGGTCTCCATGGAACACAAGGGAGGGAGGGGGAGAGAGTAGTTTGGCGTCAGGCTGAATGCCATTTGATATTCCTTTGTTGTAAGAATGAGGCCTTAAAGGATGCAGTTTAGTTATCCATCTGATGGGACTGGTAGGAACACAAACTTCTGTCCTAACAGAGCTGGAGTCTTTCTATAACATGTAGCTGATCGTCATGAATAATAAATAAAAAAATAAATAAAAGAGCATAGAGAGGAATTTCTTGTCCAAAAATTTCTGTCCTCCTTTTTATTTATTTAATGACACCAGAGATTTGCTGCCATCCCTCTATTTACTGATTGTCTGCTCTGTGTTGGAAAATACAGCTTTCAGGGAGGTATGGATTTTACAGGACATCAGCAAGGTAATCAAAGCAGTACCAGTAATCAGAAGTTAGAGCTGGGGAGCACCCTAGCACTACAAAGTTGAATTGCGTTTGTGTGTGATGTAGCCTCTCTTCTGTGGGACTAAAGTAAAATTAAGTTGCTGTTGAATCAAACTACTGACATTGTAAGCTATCTGAGCTTCCACACAGAGCTGTTAAAAGCTTGTTTGGTAAAAATGAATACTGACATTGTCCTTGCTGCTTCCGGAAGCCGAGGTTCATGAGCCTCATTCATGCTACCAAATGTAATTTAAGGTCATAATGGGCCATGATTTTTGGACTCTTGATTTGAGACACTTGTGTGATTCCAAGCAGCTCCAACTGATTTGAGATTTCTTTGGGAAATTCATTTTTAAAGCGGAGATGCAGAAATTGGACCTCAGATTCCTAAGCCTTCTGGTGCCTGTGATTTTTAGGGCCATGCGAGGGAAGAAGGGTCAACTGATAGTCTGTCATGGATCAAGAAAAAAAGCTTTTATGCTAACCTAAGGCTGAGTGGTGTTGCTTGCTAATTCTCCTCTGTGCATACAGCAACACCATTGGTACTGGGCAGTGTTGCAGCTTCTTCCCTGCTCACTCCATCCCTGTCTCCTCTGATATATCTGTTTGGAGTGATCAGGTGGCTCTTTTGAGAGTAGTGATGCTCTGCTAGATGGAGTTTTCAGGCCTCCCGCAAATAACTAGAGTATTTTTGGCCACCCTAAGAGAACATGGAGCGGAGGGAGGACGCAGTCCAACTTCTACTAAAGAAAAAATGGAGTCTCCTGTTGCTTAGACAACAGGAGCAGAGGAAATAGTAGTATTTGATCTTTGGAATGTGTAGCTGTCCATTATTTCCTAAGGACAGAAAATATGCTGTTTGTGTCTACAGCAAAAAAACAAAAACATTAATCATTCTGTGTCAGAATCTGGCACTGTAATTTGGAGGAGACACAGAGCGGGGGAAAATGTATTTGAAAGTCAAGAAGAGAATGGAGTATTCCATAAGATCACTTCTGCACTGAATAAAAAGAGGACTTAATCTAGGACGCAACACACAACTAGTAGTTGTGATATAGCAGTAGAATATGCCATGAGTGTGGGGAGAGGTATCTAGTGGAGGAGGAAAAAGCCTGCGGGGAAAATGAAGCAGAGATTGGTGTAATTAGCAGGTTAGGGTGGGGGAATGTGAGGAAACAAGTTATGCAGAGTGTAGCTGTGGTGAAACTCCATTTGAGAACTAATGGAGTTCTGTATAGCACCAATTTGTGGTCCTTCTCCCCCATTGCTGTGACCCAGGATCACTGCTGCAGTCTGTGCTGGCTCCTGCAGAGCCTATGTAGGTCTGGCAGATGTTACAAATCTGGGCTCAGCATCTTGCCTCTAATGAGATTGAGTCACTGGTGGGGTCTGCTTTGTGGGGAGCCACCGATGTTGACTTATGAACCCTTTGTGAAGACTTGAGGGAAGTCTGTAGTAGATGAGATTTCCTTCTCCCTTGAGGGTGAAAAGCTGGGAGACCTCAAAGGTAAAATCTTAGCATGTAAATACTTGTTTCTGTGATTGTATTAATCCTGATAGCTGAGTGTTCTCTGCTGCCTTATTACTACTTGCAACCCATTTTATATGGGATGTCATAGATATAGCTGTCTCATGTCTCTCTTCAGATGCATCATTACTAGATGCCAGACCCATTGTCATCTGAGCCAAGCAGCAACCAAAATGGCAAAGTACAAGCTTGTTCTCCTAAGACATGGAGAAGGAGCCTGGAACAAGGAGAATCGCTTCTGCAGCTGGGTGGACCAGAAGTTGAGTAGTGATGGGATAAAAGAAGCCAAGAACTGTGGCAAACACCTTAAAGCATTGGGTTTTGAGTTTGACCTTGTCTTTACCTCTGTCCTGAGCCGTTCCATCCAGACTGCATGGCTGATCCTGGAAGAGATGGGCCAAGAGTGGGTCCCCATTCAGAGTTCCTGGCGACTGAATGAACGTCACTACGGTGCGTTGATTGGTCTCAACAGAGCAGAAATGGCTCTGAATCATGGAGAAGAGCAAGTGAAAATATGGAGGAGAAGCTATGATGTTACCCCGCCTCCCATAACTGAATCTCATCCATACTATGAAGAGATTTGCAATGATCGCAGGTATAAATGCAGTGATGTCTCTCAGGATAACCTCCCAAAGGCCGAAAGCTTAAAAGATGTGCTTGATAGACTTCTTCCCTACTGGAATGAAAAGATAGTGCCTGAACTGAAAAGTGGCAAAATGATCCTCATATCTGCTCATGGCAACAGCAGCAGGGCACTACTCAAGCACGTGGAAGGTAAGGGTCCTCTTAGCCTTCCATATTCTCCTTGCTCACCTGCTTGCAGCTTTGCATCTTTTTAACTTAAGTGTGTTAAGTGCAGTTTGTACCCTAGTGTGCCATACTTCTCTTTCCAGGGAGAAAGGCTGACCTACTGAAAGAAGAATTTAACTGGGGAATGAGAGAGATGATGAAGCATCAACTAGGTTAATATTGTTCCTCTATTGAAAGAGCCAGATTTTTCCTCCTTATTTCTAACTGCCTATTTTAAACTAGCATATCCAAACTAACTCCAGAGTTAGTCTCAATGAACAGCTTCAGACTCTGACCATTTTCCCTTCACTTATTCAGTTGCTTTGTCAGGAGAGTTGAAGACGTAATCTGTTCATTAAACACGCATAGCTGTAACAGCATGAAGTGCTTGTCTTAAAGTTATGGAGAAAGTGACTGTTATTGCGGTGGATTATTTCTTTTGAGACTATTTTTGCTAATTCTTTACAAAGGCTCTTCATAACATAATCTTTTATAGAGGGCAGGTACTTGATAAAGTTTATGCATGTGCATCATCGTTTTGTAATGTAGAAAATGTGAGTCAGTGAACAGTAAATGTTGTAGCTCAGTATAGGGTTGTTAATTAATTTGAGACCTAAAAAGGAAGCAAGTGTGCCTTTAAGTCATTGCCATTCCCTCCCCCCATATTAATAACATGGCTTCTAGTTTCAGCCCTCCTAAGTTGGAAGACAAACTGTGCTAATTTCCTTATGTCTATGGGTAGTGTTAGTGATTATACTTGAATGCAGTCTGCTAGAGGTGTATGCACAGACTGGATTTTGCCCACTTTTTTTCATTAGAGCATGCTGAAACTGTCAGGACAGTCAATTCTATCGCAGGACTCAAATGCCCATAGAAGTGGCCTCCAGAACTACGAAGGTAGTAAGTTCTGGGCTACAGGTTACTGCTCAAGTGCAGAAGAAAGACTGGTTCAAACCAGTTACTCTGATGTAGGCAGTGTGGCTTTTCCAAGCTATAGGAAATTATTAAAAATTAAAGGAGAGGAAAAAGTGTGGGGAAGCCCCTGCACCTTCCCCTCCTTTCCAAGCCCTCTAGGCATGAAATACTGTGAGCTGATCAGAGTTTCTGTATGAAATCCTGAGCCATGTTGTATTCGGGAACAAGCCAAGGCTAAAGGTGACAGCATCAGCAACTAGTAAAGGTTATTTTAAAGATAGTATGGCCAGTTTCCCTCTTGCATTGGTGCAATTTGGGATTAATTATAGCTGAGACTGAAGCTGCAGTAACTTCATCCACAGTGTAAGTTAGAGAAGGGGCAAAGCCCTTTCAGACAGGCTTGTTAGGTAGGTGTAACTCTTCAGGGGTTGCCTGCACACTGTTACAGCTGTTAATAGCAATAAAAAAGGCAAGGTGGCCTATACCTGTATCGTGTGTCTATGCTACGCTAGACCTCGTCCCTCACAGTGTACCTGCATGTAAGGAAACCTGAGGCAGGGCCTGGCAGAAGGTCTAGTTCTGTTGACCAAGGGCTGTCCATCAGCTGCTCCAGCACTTGCCAGGTACTTGCCAGAGCATCCAGGGGATGGCTCTTCTGCCTCCAAATTGATGTAGATCATCTGGTTTGCTGCTGGAAAGTTGCATGACCAGAAAACTTTAAGACCTGATACTACAACCTGCATTTTTTTTAATTTAAATTTTTTTTTCCACTCAGAATGCTCACTTACATCTATCAGGGTATAAGAGGTTCTTTGTGTGTGTTGTTGATTGTGTCTCCCTGCCTCTCCTGGAGAGTTGTGAGGGCTTAAGAAATCTAGGCATGTGTGATTGTTCTGATTCCTAATAGTTATAGCTTGTGATCTTTGAGGCTATTGCAGGGAAATTTTAAATGGCAGATAAATGTCCGTTCAGCAGACATTCCAAGGTGAAACTTAGCTCAAGAATGCCTTTTCTGAGGGGTTTCACAGGTTACTCTTAAAGCTGCTATTTCGAAGAGGTAATTTTTGAAAACAGGCTTGCAGTTCTTTGAATCTGAATGTTTTCCTTGTTATGATTAATTGGTAAAGAACTTGAAATGCTGTGGCCTTACTTTCCACTTGCACACAAAATATCATCAGGGCAGTGGAATGTCAAACTAACAAGGCTTTGATTGTGGGTCTGGATTTTGTTTTTGTTTTTTCAGTGCTTGCATAGATCTCGCTAGGGTCTATGAAAACGTCTCCAAGATTTGTCACAGTTTCCATGAGAGATGACTTTATTACGAAAAAAAGGCAACACCCCAGTAATTTTGCTGAAAAGAATTTAACACAATCCTGGCCATCCTCATATATGGACTTAAAGATCAAAATCCTTAGGTGCTCTGAGAACTTGCTCTTCTGTCCTTGTCAGTTGGAATAACCTGCAGTGAGAGCTTGGTCTTCTGTCCCTGTTGGCTGGAATAACCCTTCCTTGGTGTGTGCTGTTGAAGACCTTGAAGGTGCAAGCTTCGGGCCTCCTGTGGGTGTGCCTGGCTGACCTCCAAGGATTTGGAGGAATGACAAGCATGACGACACACTGCACAAAAAGTTGTGTGCAATCCTATTTATTTAGATTGAGTAAGATGAAATGCTGGCATCAAATTTAAGTTTAGTGACTAGGCTTGCCCAGTTCTTTAAGGGTACTTATCACCTGAAGGTGATGCAAAGAATATATGTGGTTATGGTAGCAATCACTGACACTACTGAAAACTGATAAAGCAAGAGCTTTTATTCTGTGTTGGTAGGGATGGGAAGGCTCTTTAAAAATATGAGACTCTTTCTTCTATGGCAGTAGTTTTATTTGCTGGAGGATCCTTCTTGTCGTGACTTAGCAGCTGTTCTGTACTGTGTGACACCAACTGGGATGGACTATGGCATGTAACTCAGGTCTTCACGTGGGACATATTTTTTCTTTTATGATTTTGTGTGTCTTTTTTGCACTGAAAGAGCAGAAGGTATCAAAACAATGGAGATTTGTTAGCATCCAGAATGAAACTTAACTGATTATGAAAACCTCAGTTCTTAAAAACTGCTAAATAAGCATCTTAAATGCATAGGAACTCTTCACAAATGATTATCTCAAATCTTTTAAAGTAGGAACAGTTCATTATCTGCTACCATTAATATAAAAGCGCTCCTCTTGAAGGAGTGACTGGATTCCTTCTGGTGATCTAGTACACTTTTTTTTTTCTTTCTCCATGTGAGTGGCAGAAGGAGCCCTGTGTTGCTATCTGGTCCAGCATGTTTCTTACTGACCATTTCCTCCTCCTAGGGGCTGCCATTAGATGCCTCGGGAGCAGCACCTTGGCTTTGCAGAGACCTGATTTTATGCTTTTCTCTCTGTTGAAATGTTTCCTTCCTGGTATGGAGTGATGGTTTCGGAGCATTTGGTTAACAGGGCCCCATAAAGGTGGCGATGGAGGAATTGGTCTCTGAGGAAAAAGATGCAGACTTGCTACCTGTTGAGCTTGGCTGCCTGTAGTCACAGAGCTGGGCCAGAGCTCCTTAGCTGCTTTCCCAGGGAGAAGGTTGTGTCAGGGGAGGAATTGATACTATTCTCTCCAGTGGGTGTGTTAGGAAAGCAGTTGCCCTCGTGACTTGTTTGCCTTGTGTGATGTTGGTACAGTCATGGTGCCCTATAGCCCGTATCCTAGCATAACAAGCCACACATAACAAGCCCTGATGGGACCTCTGTATTGATGACTACCTAATGAGATTATTTTGCTGATGTTTGCAGCCAGGCCTCCTTAAGGAAATGCCACTTAGGTGATTGTGTTGTCTGAGGGTCCTTGCAGAAGTTGGCTTCATGATCTAACATCTTACTGCTTTTGAAATGAGATAGTTTGGTGCTCTCCCTTGACTCGTGTGTGCTCCCCTCCTGCTGTGTTTTTACTTTGCCTAAGCTTGCTGAACCTTGTGCAAATGTACTTGCACCTGAAACGGACAGTAAACAGTGAGAAAGTGGGAGCTTTCCATCCGTCAGGTTGGACAGTGGAATTGTGGAGCTCGGGGAAGGAGGTGGCAGGTTGTGGAAGCTGTGACAGCAAGGCTTCAGGGACAAGCTTCTTCCAACATTTTGCTGAAGGAGGTGTATGTTGGAGTCTCCTCTGATAACATCAGACGGAGCTGATTTCAAGTATACTTGCATGAAAAAGTCTCAATGATTTCCCACCCCTCTCTGACCCTCATCCACCTTCTCTATCCCTAGGGAGGCTAAAAAAGAGCTAAGTGTGTCACGGTGTGCTACCTGAAAGGAAATGTCAGAGTAAGCACCTGTGGCCCCATGCTGAAGTCTTGAGGCTGTGAGCAGTGCTGTGCCAGAGCTCAGAGCCCAAGTGAGGTGTATGCTGGTAGCTCCTGTGGCCACACGCTTAGAGAACTTCTTATTTATCCCGAATTGTCCCTGAATTCCCAGCTGTGGTAATTACAACATGGTCTCTGCTGCAGGTCGTCCTGGGCCTTTTTTGCCCAATGCCCTAGCTAAAGCCTAAAGGCAGCAACAGACTTTGTGTCCTTCAGCCTATTTATTCTTGGACTCGTGGAGGAGTTCAAGACAGGCTGCAATTCCCTGTTGCATGGGAGTGGGAGAGACACAATGATTTAATGTTTTCTTAAACTAGCCCGTGATGGGAGGGCCTCAGTAATGCTCATTGTCAAATTCGGGCAACAATCAGAAGCTGCTGACATAATGATGTAGAAGGGAGAAAAGCTTGGCAGGCGCAGAAGGGTAGAACAGATGTAGATAATCTGCTGCAGCCATGGTAGTAGTTTATAATCCCTCCTCTCCCTCTTAAAATCAGCACAGTGAGCTTAGATGCAGTAAAAATTAATAGCCGGATTCCAGCGCTGTGCCCAGTTCCCTCTTTTGTTCTCCCTATTGAAGCAAGGCCCCCTGCCAGCCTGCGTGCAGCTATGTCCCTGTTAAGGAGGGCTGAATAGCACTTATCTGGCCCTGTGTGTTTAGTTTATTCAACTAAATTTGAGTGTTTTCACTACACTTGCAGGAAAAATTCAAGGTGCTGATCTAGATCTTTATTGCAAAGCAGCAATTACAGAGCAAGCCCATCGTACTTGAATTTATGCATTGGTACTTGTATTTTCCTAGATGAATCACCTGGCCTCAGGTGTAGTTGACATCCAAGGGAGGTGGAGTGTAGGTAGTTTCAGCAATTGTGGTGTGAAGTGCTTTTTTTCTTGTTTTTAAAATGTTTTGAGGTTGTCCCATCTGCAAAGATACATGGAAAAAGCTTGGTCAGAACAGGTGGGAGAGAGGGAGAAGCTTAACCAGCTTTTAGAAGTTGGCTTTAAATGGTGAAAATCATGTGCAATAGGTTTTGCATTCATAGGACTTTCTAGAATGGAAATGTTTCAAAGCATTTCATGGCCCATCAGATAAAGGTGAATGCTTACACATCCATGGAGATGTATTCTTTATGCATCATATCTGCAAAATCAGTCTTAAATAACGTCTTTCAATGAAAGACTACACCATAACCATTAAACAAAAGCCTATGCCGTAAAGAAGTACCAGCTTGTGTTGTTTTAACTGTATCCAGTTCAGTTAATGGAAGCGTAGGTAGGTGGAAAGGAAACAGCGTGCGACTCTGAAAAGGTTTGTTTGTTTGTTTTGTTTTTCTTGCAGTATGGTGCTGCAAAAAAAAAACAAAAAAAAACCACCCCTGATCCGTTCATACAGCTGCTGTTCAGGAGCACTGTTTAATAAGTGTTCATGAGATAAAATGAGAAATGGAGATTTTTACAGGAAGGTTTTTTAACTAGGTAGAATACAGCTGCCCAGTTAGCCTGTTATCTCAGGTCCTGAGGAAGGCATCCAGTACCTCACTAAATACTATGAGATACCATGGTTCTAAGTAGGCAAGACTTTAACTTTAAAACTCCTTTGGGAAAAGGCACCGCCACCAGCACAGTACAGGAGTGCTGTCACCATTCCTTGGAGAGAAAAGTCGCTTCTGCCACAGTCCTCCCTATTTCCCGCTGCACCTTGCACTCGAAAGTGGTTGCCCTGGTTTCACCTTTCCCCTGTGAGACAGGATGGGATTGAGACAGGCCAGCTTTGGTGCTGAAGTGCAAGAAAAGGTCATTTGGCTCTAGTTACAGCATGTGAAGTAACTGGATAGCAGGTTTTGCTCACTCTTGCAGTGGTCAGAGTGGAAGATGTGCTCTTTTTCATTCCCTTCTAGCCCTGCTGGGAATGCTCCCTGTGTGTTTAGCTTGCAGCTGAAGAGCTTGTGTGTCAAGCCTGATAAGCATCTTGCTAAAGAATAGATTTCCCTAAGCCAATGCTGCAACAGCGCTGAAATAAACCAACAGGACATTAATGTGTCTCCTTGGGATTTTCTTCTGTCTTCAGCTTGCAGTTCCAGCCTTCTGGCTGTGAGGCAATGCACAGAAGATCCTAAGGAGGAACAGCAAGTTGCAGCAAGCATACCGGCTGTTCTAGCCTTGTAAATCAGTACTCTAGTACTGACTGCTGATACTGGTATGGTCACCCTGAGATGGCCAAATTCCCAGGGCTGCATGGGAGCGTATGTATGAATTGCTGTTATAAAATTTTAGGAATCATTTAAATAAGAGTTCAGGCAGCCTTGCTATTAAATTTGCAAACTGAAGTGCCCGAGCACAGTGCTTTTTCTGGTAGATAGGCTTGGTATTTTTCCTTTTGTCATCTCTGTGATTTTAATATTTCAGGAGCTTCTTGAAAGCTTTTCTGTGGGCCTTTAATCTTCCTGCCTAGAAGAGCTAAATTATGTGTTCCTTGTAAGAAGGAATGGCTGCGACTTGCAGTCCAGGGGAGATATTGGTGGGAGGTGGTTCTGTGTGGGGTGGGTTTTTTAAATTCTTTTTATTTAAAAAAAGAAAGCCACCTTGTTTGTTTTTAAATGCACAGGCTTAATGTAAGATGAGGTGTAAACCTCCTGTAAGAATTTGTCTGTCTTTGTCTGTGGCCTTCTGAAACTTTGGGCTAATCTCAAAATAAATACTTAGTCTCTACCAAGACATTAATAAGTCTCTGCAGAAATTGCTTGCTTGTGTGGTCTCGGAGCAGGGGAATAAAGTGAGTCTCCCCAGTTCCAGACTAGAGAGTCGGCTTAAAGGTTTTGGTACTTAAAGGTTTAGGAGAGCTAAGTCCTGATAATGAGTCATGACATGGGTTGGGGTGGGGAGAGAAGGCTGTTTTGTTGTTTTTGCTGTTCATATGTTGGCTCTGCTTTTCTACCTAATGTGCAAATAGTTGGAAAATTTACACTTGTGTGTTCAGAACCATCTGTTTTGTCAGCTGCTCCAGAGGATGTTTTTTCCTTTACCCCTTGGTCTAGCTTATCTGTTTACAAGCTTGATTGCCTTCATTACTTATTTATATTTAACTTGGCTTACTTGAAGTTGTTCTGCTTTAAAACAAGAGGCTGTCATCAGACCTCATTGCTTCCAAAAAGGAAGGAGAAGGGGAAATGGTTCCCATGACATGAGCCTTCTCTTGCCCGAACTTCTGAGGGAATAGTTGCTTTGCAGTCCTTGCCTCTTAATGCATCTTCAGGCCTTCTGTGAAAATCTTACTCAGAGATCATTTTGAAAGTTGCTTGTGTTTTAAGATGTAAGCCCAACCAGCAGTTTCTCTGGAGTGTTGATGAAATAGTTAATTTTCATCTTCGGGTACATCTTAATTGATGAAATGGAAAAAAACAGGAAGCTTCTTCAAGTTGAGGAAACTGAAGCCTCTTCCTCCCGTTTTCTCCCCTTCTCTGCCCCCCATTTAAAAGCAGAAATAAGTAGTCTTGTAACTAGTAATGCTGGAGTGGTAACATAGATACACTAAAACTTGCTTCCAAACAATCCAGTGTGGGCAGACACTGATTTTCAAACTAAGCATTAGCTGCATCTTAAAAGCAGCATTTTGTGTGAAAAGCAGATGCACAAGAAACTTGCGGGGAAAAATTAACCCTGATAACTTGTGTCCTCAAATAAACTGTTTGTATTGGTTACTTAGCAGAGGCTGTTTTCAAGTTGGAATAGCATCTCTAGGCCTGAACCCCCTGAGCTTTGTGTTATGTGAGCGTGAACAGCATCAATTGGAAGATGTAGAGGACAGCTTACAGGCCTTGATATTCTGAAAAAATATCCACTCTCTAGGGCAAAGTTTCTTCACTGTCTGGTCCACACATGTGAACTGAAGTGGGAAGAAAGTTTTCACCTTCCTGGGGGTTTCCTTCTGTAGCATTTACTTAAACTGTTCTTCCAAAGCTGTGGTATTGACAGGAATGTGCCATTGGGTGTAGTTGCTGTTGCTGCAGCCCCTGTTAGCTGTCAGCAGCTTCTTGTCATCATGAAGACTGGATAACCTCAGAAATAAGGCACAGCCTGACATTGCCCGTCAGGCTATGAGAAGACCTTGCGCTAGGTGTAACTTTGTGGGCTTTTGTCTTTTGACAGGCATCTCCGATGAGGATATCATCAATGTTACTCTCCCCACTGGCGTGCCCGTACTTCTTGAATTCGATGAGAATCTACAGCCCCTGGGCCCTCATCGGTTTCTGGGCGATCAAGAGGCTATCCAAGCTGCCATCAAAAAAGTGGAAGATCAAGGGAAAGTTAAATCTGCTGAGAAGTAAAATCCCACTGACTGACACAGTCCTCCTCTCTAAAGTGTGTGGTAGTAAGTGATGCTTTGTGTGCGAGTGTTAGGCTGCGCTGTGCAGAAGTCTCAATTTCAAGCACTAAATAAGTGGAAGGAACCGTTGGACAGTTGTCGAGTCTTGGTTGGTAGATAAACCTTCTCCCTTTCAGAAACTAGAATTCAAATCTCAGTGTGAGATGTGAATATTGCAGAGGTGGGTGGGGGTAAAAAGAGAGCAGTTCAGTCAGGGAAGCTTGCAGGGCAATCTGTCTGAACTCTAGGCTTGAGAGAGGCCAGAAAGGAGTAATGGGATGTATGAGAGGCCTCTTCCAATAATCAGTCCTGACTTGTTAAGGGGAAAAACTTGCACTGCACAACACCAGTTCACTGGACTACATAAGTCCTAGTGTTAAAGGCACTAAACTTTTTTCACTAACAACGTGACATCAGAAAGGGCTTACTCCAATGATTCCTGGATGCCATTGGCCATGACAGTTTGTGTTACTGACAGTGTTTTCTGCTTTTCAGAATACTTTCAGCTGTAAAACTTTCCCTCTCCACTTTATTTTGAATCTTTCAAGCCCTGCTCATAGTTCACCTGAGAACTTGGAAGAGATATTCAGACCATTGTAGTTACCTTAGATGTCTTTTAATATGCTGTGCTCCTATTCTGGTTTTCTAGAAGGTACCCCTCTTTCTTCGCCATCTCTGTGAAACACAGCACGACTGCATTTTGCTGGCCTGTGATAATGGGATTTCACTCAGACTTCAGTCCGCAGACTGAGAACAAAGAGGCTTCCTGCTCAATGTGTAAACTATCACTTAGCCTTTAATGACTGACCTAAATAGCTTTCAGATGGTAAAATAGCATGTGCTGCAGGCTTGATCATCTCTTAATAAAGCTGTTGAAAGCGTTCCTGGTAACCTCAGTAAAACTGGACATATGAACCAACACACACACACACACACACACACACACACACACACACACACAC